CTTTTTTTTTTAAATAGATATATATTGGATATTATTATATAGGTTTGAACTATTTTGAAGTGGAGAAACTGTTTGAGTATAAATATAATTCTTAATTCGTCTCAATCCTTTGATTCAACGCTTTGACTGTTGAATATCTATTGAGATTAAATGCTGCTATTTCCTATCACCAACCGTTATTTTTTAAAAAAAAAAATCTATATCTATAATTATGACATCCTCCAAATCAAATTCGCTGAAGAATATCCTTACTATTGTTAAACCAGATAAATTTATATATATTATTGATTACTATCTATGTAATATTATTCATAATCCATTAATTTCTTCAGGATTTATACTATTTTCATATGGATATTATATTTTAACCACATCGTCATTATTTGAAGATTCATTAACTTATGATATTGTTTATTCAGATATATTATCAAATTTAATTAATATCATTGCTATATGTCGATTTCTATTCAATTTAAAATTTAATAATTCCTTTGGTGAAGGATTATTTTTCATATTTCAAACAATTGGAAGTTTTTATATATTTCTTGATAATGATTATGATAATGGTGATGATGAAACTTCAATATTTTTGAAAGTTTGTGTTTATTGTCAAATTATATTACCATCTATTATAATATTAATATCTTATTATATTAATGATTTTACAATTCAAGAAAGTATTACTTTAGGAAATAATAATTTTATCCCTTTTTTATTAAGTTATTCAATAAAATTAATGAATAATCAATTATGGTTTAATTCAACTATTCAAGAATTTATATATTCAATTTCAATATTATCATTGAAATTTTATTTAATTTATCAATTTGTATTACATGAATACTTGATGATTTATTATGATGGTTTAGAATGTTTTGAATATTCATTGTTTTATCCAACAAATGAGTCTAATTCAATAATTATCAAAAATGATGAAATATTATCAACAAGGAAACAGGTACGTTTTGCAATGATTAAAAACTGGTGTGTATTGTCAGTATCGGTGATTTCAATCATATTTGATATTTATATATATATTGTATAGAACATTACAAGTGTATAGACCATTAGAGAGTTTTTATTTTCATATATAGTATACTTTAAATCTAAATTTATCGTCGACAGTTCCATCCTTGAACATCAATTGGATAGTTATTCAACACCTCAATACCAACGAAAGGGAATTAGTCCCTTGCAGACCCTCTGGGTAATTTATTGTTAGCACTAATATTATTATTTTTTTCATGTTGAATATAGTTCTAAATTGTAGAATAATATATCAAAAGTCTTTTCTAGAATAATAAACAATAGGGATTATTTTTTAGAACCAGTGTCGTCCATTGATTGAACTTACACGAGTTGAATTTGTCCGTTCACATATATATTCAAAGATATAACTAATTTATTGATTGAATTCGATAAAATGATTTATTTACTTGATACAATTCTAGACTCATTGACTAGTTTGTTAAAACTTTGTCTTTATTTTGCATCTAGATTCTGAAATTAGATCAACAAGAAAAATATAAACATGGATTCAAGTTCAAATAATGCATATCTTTTAATTATTCAGACATTAGATAACCATAAAGATCAAGTGAAATTCTACTTAGTAGCTTAGGAGAAACAAAACTAAATTTATGGTTTTGCGTTAATAAGGGAAAGGATTTGCAACAACATCATCATCATCAAATACCGACATTCTATTTAGTTAAGATTTGACATATTTGTTTATGTTTATGTAAGTTTAGCCCGCCTTGAAATAAGGTTTGTATTAACTCCCCCCCCCCCAATTTTGCAATTTAGAGGCATGTGGCAAATGACGAATATGATATCATTAATATTGCATAAAAAGACCTTAGTGGAGAATAATATTCATTATTAAACATTATCAATATGTATATAAAATAGGATATTTGATTGCAAAGTATTCGTATATCTCGGTTTTATCTCGGTGGTAACGGCGATTTCATCTTTAGATGTGGATGATATTGCTTCATGATGAACTAAAAGATGAAAAGAAAAGAAAACTAAACTTGCGTGTTTAAAAGTACATATAGATTTAAATTTAGATGATGCGATCGATTTGAATAATAAAACTAGAAAATATGAATATCATGACTAGACTAGATGCAGTAAGAGCATTAAGAACCATCACATATACGTTAATGGTAGACAATGATACAACAACTGGTTAGCTCAGCCAAAGTTTAAGTTGTTGAAAATTCTTCTATTTTTTTTATAAAAACACAAATAAAACTAAGCCATGGAAAATTCTATTTATATTTATGGAAAACAATTGAATCCTGTCGTGGTATATGACGCATAATTCAAATGTCTGAAAATAGACATAACTTAGAAAATCATCATTGCCTTTCGCTAAAATGATTTTATTTGCTAAGACATATTAAAGATTCAGTATCTGTACATCCACATCCACAGCCACATCTACACTCACACTCATATCATTAATTCCACTTTGTAACTGTCTGCATTTCTTTTATAAGTAATAAAATAAACAAATCGACGAAGAGATCTGTTGATTAGTAAACGGTGGAAAAGATTTTTTTTTTAAAAAAAAAACAAAAAGCCTCGTAAGTAGTTTAAATTCTGTCGCGTAAAAGAAACAATTCCATCACAACCCTAATTGATGAAAGAGTTAAATTTAGAAACACAGGAAAATCCCTCATTCTCGTCAATATTCAATCACATTCTCTTAATATTCTAATGGGTATATCATCATCATCATCATCATCATTAATATTACTGGCCATGTAAAACCATGTCTGAGGAAGACTTTCCTAATTGGTAAAAATACGATGCTGGTGGTGGTGGGTGCAGACTGATCTTACGTAATCCCGGTCCTCCGTATATGTTCTTCCGTACTAAATATAATAATAAACTTTTTCTCTTGGCACATCTGCAGCACCGTGTTTCGTTGCATCGGCGCACGACCTCCTAAAAATAACACAAAACCCATTGCCTTTCTGCTTACATAATCAGCTGCAGCAGTAAGAATAATTTATTACGCCGGACCGACAGACAGGTTCGGCTGGCCTGGCCTGGCCTGGCCTGGCTGCGTGGGGCCAACTCCCCCTTCTCTCGTCCACCCTGACCTGCCCACGAGGGCCTTCTGTTATTATTATTATCTTTTTTTTTGGCACCTAACAATGAGTGAATTAATTAATTTATAAATAACCATTGACCTTTATAATTGGGAGAATAACTAAAAAAAGTATACTAAAAAAAAACGAAAAAATTCCTAAAGTATATAAACTGATGGTTATTCCCTGTTTGAAGATAAATATAAATTTTTGATCTTGTTTTTTGTTTTTGTTTTTATTGGCTTTTGTTTTTGTGGTATTAGAGAAGTACAACGATTTATCATGAATATGAGTTT